ATGCATCATACTTGTACCAAGTATCAACAAAACTGTAAGACCTCAAGCAAGGCATGAATCATACTTGTACCAAGTATAAATAAAACTGTAAGACCTCAAACAAGGCATGAATCATACTCGTACTGAGTATCAATGACACAAACTGTAAGACCTCGAAAGGCATGAAAATTTTGTAAGACCTTACTACAGGCATAAACTCAATCCCGAAGTTGAGGCTATATATTGCATTTGTAAGACTCCTGAAAGGGCATACCCTCGATATAGACGCCTAAACTACTACACTCGGAACCAAAAATGGCTCCGGCCAAACACAAATGACTACGGTCATATGGCTGTACCAGCCAAATTAACGCGACTCTGGGACACCCGACCGTCACTGCAAAATCATATGCCATTACTTCGAATCTACTTCGAAAAGAACCGGTTAAACAGGCTACTCTCAACAGGCAAAAGGGCTTTGACCATGTCAGCTCCAAATCACAAGGTTTCGAGCTTCTCAGCCTACGAGCCAAACCTTCCGAGATGCTCTAACATCGCCGCAAATGACTTGAAATCGAGGTTCTTCCCTAACCGATGACGGGTCAGACAAAATTATTTCAAAAAGTCCTTAACGAGAGGAAAACAAAGCCTACATATGCCTAAGGTCAAAGCGTAAGAGCCATTTTTGCCGGCTAACATTAAAAGGTCACTTCGACCCAAGTCGTAAGAGCCATCATCGCCAACCCACACAAATGCAAAACTTGAGGGTCAAAGTGAGCTCGAGTCGAAACCTGATTCTGAGACTTAACCCGAAATAGTTAACTACATATGCCTAAGGGCAAAGCGAAAGAGCCATTATCGCAAGTAAGAGCCATTGTCGCCAACTAACATTAAAAGGTCGTTTCGACCCAAGGCGTAATAGCCATTGTCTCCAACCCACACAAATGCAAAACTTGAGGGTCGAGTGAGCTCGAGTCGAAACCCGACTCAGAGACTGAACCCAAAATAGTTAAAATAAAAATGCCTCAGGGCAAAGCATAAGAGCCTTTGTCGCCAACTTAATGAGCCTCAAGGCTGTGCATATAAGGGATCGCTTTGATCAAAGGAGTAAAAGCCATTGTCGCCAGCCCATATAGATGCAAAAGCTCGAGGGCCAAATGAGCTCGAGTCGAAACTCGACTAGGAGACTAAACCCAAAACAGTTGAGAAAAAGCATAAAAGGCCCCGAGCCTGCCTAATGAGCCCCAGGGCCGTATCACGAATCTAAGAATTCTTGCCAACTTTAAAACGGGATCACCTGGCTGAATTCCAGACAAAAATGGGACTGGAAGAAGCAAAGCCACAGGGTTTACTTTATACATATGCCAATATAAAAGTACTATGTACAAACAGGAAAATCGACGGAATCCTAATATTGTCATGCCTACATTCTCAATGGCTCCCCCGAGGGTTGCACCCCAACAGCTATGAGTCTCTCAACGGCCCCTTCTCAATGGCATCTTCCCTTTCCAGGGATTTACCATTGTTTTTAGCATAGCCCGAGATGTCACCCGACACACCTCCAACATCCTGCTTTCGAGAATCCGGCCAAGCATGGTCCACAACTTGAGGTAAATCCGGGTTAGCCTCCTCATACGCCCTCTCAACGCGAGCACTTGCGACAATGGCTTCCTCTCCATGAGAGGATACAAGCGTTGCGGCTTCGGCTTTGATCCTAGATAGTGCAGCTACCAACTCGGAATGGAGACCTATGTACTTGTCAATGTCCTCCTTCGCATCCTGGAGCTGATGCTCAACTGAGGTTACCTTCCCCAGGAGGGTGTCCCTCTCGGAGGTTATTTCCCTTATATACCGACTGAGCTCGGAAATTTCAGCATCTCTGGCCCAGAGCTCCTCTATCAGCAGGGTGTTTTCCTTCTCAAACTGCACAAATCAAGTCCGAAATGTTGAAGGCACTGGAATCTACCAAGGATTCAGATAGTAGTAAATGGGGGATGAATAACATGCTTGGTAAGATAGGCTTTCTCACGCTTGCGACGGTTCACCTCATCTTGGTATTGGGTGAAAGCCTGGCTGTAAAGTGCTTTGGTCTAAAGCCACGAAAAAGGACAAGTTAACAAAACAAAGATCGAAGCAGCCCAGAGTGGCGGACAGGATTAGCAAAAATTACTCGCTCGCAAAGTCTGCCCATTTCGCCAAAAATGAATGAAGCGTTAACCTCGGGAATTCCCTCGAGAGTGGTTGGCGGTCTCTCGGGCGCATCTACGCCTTTGACTGGTGCCCCTACATTGGAGGGCTCTTCACGCGGGGCATCTTGCACTCCATGAGGCGGTAGAATCACTCCCTGAGGAGAATCAATAACGATCACAAAACTGGCAGGTCAATCAAAGTCTCCATCCCTTGTTTACCCTGGACCCCAGAGCTAGGACCCTCCGAACTGCCTACCAAGGGCACCTCAACTCGGGGAGAATCCTGGCCGCCAGCCAACTCGGGGGTAGTACTCGATATTCCGTCCGTTGCCTCCCCGCCACAAAGATGGACCGCAGCGGCATCAGGCTCCGGTTCAGAAGCCTCCATCCCCACGGCCCGAGGACCGGCTGAGTCTATACACTCCTCAGGGGCCGTTAGGAAGCTACTTTCCCCCTCATCTTCAACTCAAGGGCTTCCCGCCGTCTCCGGGGTCAGAGCTGCCGGGTCGACCTTAGACTCTTCTACCTTAACCCTCTTGAACTCCAGCGGCCCGACCGACATACCCCCCTACCTTCTCTTCTTCTCACCAGGCACTAAGGCGTCCCCATCTACTTCTCCTTCGTCAAAGGGACTTCCCCCAGACCTACACAAACGTAGAAGTTAAACACAAAGAATGAAGAACACTACTAATAGCAATTTGCATCAAAGGGTGCGGATACAACAAAGTTCGGAGCTCACCATGATCTTTGGCTTCCCACCGGGCTCGAGATAAATCTTGCCATACTCGTTCGACATATGGGCAAAGCGAGTATAAGCGGCCGACCCAATCCTGGAGGTCCGAAACCGCACTGGGGTAGGTTGCTACGGCTAAAAAAGCAAGAGAAGTAGAGTTAGATGCTTGGAGAAATATTGTCAACGAGAAGCGAAGGAAGACCCGACAACACGTTTACTTACGCCCAACACTCCACCTCTCGGGGAATGACATCTTTTCCGCCGGGATCAGGTCAGAAGTCCTCACTATGACGAATTGGCTTGCCCATCCCTCATTGCCAAGCTCCTCGGTACAGGCAAAGAGGGACCTCAGGGCTCGACAACGGAGTTTGATTAGGCCCCCGCGGAGGAGACGAGGACTATACATCCTGATCAGGTGGTTGAGGGTGAATGACATCTCCTCTATCATGTTTGTGTAATGCCTGATCATATAAACAACGCCAGAATGAAGGATGAATTTGACCAAGGGTTACTTGATACCGTCGATAGAAGTCGAGAATCACGGGGTCGATCGGGGGCGAAGATGGCCCCATTGGCCCCAAGGTAAACGGATAGGTGTACACACTCAAGGATCTCCACAAGCACGGTATCCCCCCAGTGACAGTCAGCCCTCACTCTTTCGATGTCTATTACCGAGCGGATATACCCAGTCACGGGCTCGCGACGCTCTAGTTTCGAGGAAGGTCTCTCGACCTTAAAATCGGAGGTCATCGCAAAAGATCCTGGGACGCATTCCTCAGCATGTGGAGGTGTGGCCACTTCACCTTGAGAAAAAAGCGAAGATGATGAGCCCGCAACCTCCTGAGAAGCAGAGGTGGAAGTTTTCGCCATCCCTAGAAGATTCTGGAGGAAGAAAAAGAGCGGCGTTCCTGAGAAAGAACGAGAGCAAAGGAAGAGAGAACCTTTTCAGGGGTTTGGGCACGCAATGGGTTATAGAAAAGAAGAAGGGGAGTATTTATAAAAGCACCGTATGTGCATTGAAGGAGGCCAAGAGGCAGCCAACTACCATAGTCAATGCGGAAACCTGCATGAGTGTCGTATCTTGGCATCTTGTGGCTATTGCCGATTGCAAGAATATTGAAGGAGGAGGAGGAAATTCAAGGTCGTTTCTTATCGCTTCCAATCTAAGAAACGCGAAGACTATCTGTATGTGATAAAACCGGGGGCCCGATTTCCCCGTCATTAGGTCACCTCGCGAACATGCTTCTCAAGGTTCGAAGCCGAGGTCGAGACCCACCTTTGGGAGCCTCGGGTTTCGGCCCCGGAGGGGCAGCGCGTACTAACGGCTATAATAGGGGAGAGGGGAGTTCCCAAGGCACGCCGTTGATATTGACAGAGCCTAATGCTATCTAGTTGTCTCATCCCTCTACTTTTATTATTAATGCATTTTGTACTATGTTGGGATTTCTCCTCCTATATAAGGGGGATCCTTGGCCCTTTGTAAACTCTGTTACTCCAACTATTCTACATGAAATATACAAGAACTCTTTATTTTCTCTCTAACATATTCTCTCTCGGTATTATTGCTCATATTTATTGCCCGCATATTTGTTCTTCATTTATTGCTGGTTATTGGCCATAAAGAGCCTCCCTAAATTATATCCTAACTGTTAGCCCTTTTCCGATTATCCCCGATAGCTCGAGCCCGAGCCCAGGCATCGACCTCGAGGCCCCTCATCGGTCAGTCCAAGGCCAGAATAGCTAACCATTTGGTTTGATTATAATTCCATTTTAGCTCGCATTTCATCTTTTATCTCCATATATATAACATCAATTACTTAACAACTAACATAAAAATAGATCACGTATTTTTAGAGTCCCATCAACAAGTTTAATTGTTATTATCATTTTCACGGTAAACACTAGTCCTTTTAATTTATTTTTATCCAACTAAAATTTAAAGTTAAAAATTGGGTTTCAATTGAGAGGGTGTAACTTATTTATGGCGTCATTTCCTGAGAAAACGCATAGATTTGGGTAAAAATCAAGGGCAAAACCGGTACACTGCTTATATATAAAAGAGCCGAGCGTTGCATTAAGCAAATTTCCGTTATCTTCTCTCTCTATATCTATAATATAACAATCCACCTATCCTTCTAATTTCTAAATTCTTTGAGATATTCCTCTGATCAATTTAGGGTTTTTGCCAAATTTGATTACCGAGTCGACTCAGCAACCATAATGGGTTCCGATTTAATCGCCAATGCTTCAATCCCCATGCTTTCCTCTAACCCCAAAGATTTCGCCAAGAAAAAAAGGGTAACAATTTGTTTAATTTGTTCTTTTTTCTCTCTTTCAAATTTCTGTTTCCTTTTACATTTTAATTAATTATATTTAAGCTTTTTTCTTTCCAATGTGATTGAGTTTTAATTTCCTCAGGCGAATCGGTCGGCTAAGTTGAAGCAGTGCAAGCTTGATGCTCGACGGGAACAGTGGCTTTCACAAGGTTGCTTAAAGTTTCTCCGTATCTTTCATGCATTTGTAATCTGCCCTTTTTTTTTACAATTAATTTTTTTTTAAAAATATTTATATTTATCTTAAAACTACTCAGATCAATTGTAAATTATTATTATTATTATTATTATTATTATTATTATTATTATTATTATTATTATTATTATTATTATTATTATTATTATTGGGTACAGAGGTATTTCACATCCATTAAAGTTGACATCTTTGAATACGTCTGTGCTTTTGGTATTTGATCAATCTCAAGATTGGTACTTTTGTCCAAATTTATATGACACTCTTTCCTTTTCTAGTCTGTCCCAAAAAGTATGATATATTTATATAATTAGAAAATATTTAGCTTTACAGCTTGTTTGGATGGCTGTTTCCCATTGTATATGTTGTGTTGTTATCCCAAAACAATGTTTGTTTTGATTGTTTAGTTAAAATTGGTTGTATTGTATTGTTGAATCTATTGTTCCGGAACAATGAAAAGTCCCATTTTTTAAAACAACCAATTTGGTGTGGTGGGATTGTTTCCTATTTTTCTTTCCAATTATATCCTAACTTATTACTTTATAATTCTATTTTACTATTTACTTTTTTGTTATTTTAATCCAAATCTCCTAACCTATAACCTACGTCTTCATTCCGTTTTTCCTTCTGCCTCTTCCAACTCCAACATCAAGTATAGGTTTTGCCTTCTTTTTGTTTTGTTCTTTCTTCTGCTTTGATTTGTAACTCCAATTCTAATTACTTTATCTCCAATTAGCTGTTTAATATTGAGTTTTAATTCCAATTCTAATTGCTTTATGTGTAATTCTTGATAATATTTAAAACAATTGAGGGTATTTTAGTAAACTTATCATCAAACAACAAAATGTTATTTGACAACAACAAACAATACAATCTATCCAAACGTTGTATTCATAAAACGATACAATACAATACCATTCAATACAATACGATACATTATAAAAGGATGGGTAACAATGATCCAAACAGAGCAACCTTCCACTGTTACCCTCAACGAGATAATCTGTAGCCACACAAATGTCTATGGCTTATTTTAGACCTCATGTTTCAATGCCTTTCTTTCATTCATTTTTAACTCCATGATTAGTCAAACACGGTCACATAAATTGGGATGGAGGGAGTATTAATTATGTAGTTTTCCTATTTGTATGTGCCTTAATTCTTGGTGATTGGGCTTGTGTAGTGAAGAATAAAGGCTCCAATGAGGAATTGAATGGTGGGGGAGGGGCTCCTGTCCAGAGGATGCACTTTGCTAATGAGAGGAGACGATTGATGGAGAAGTTAGTGATAAAGCCCAGAGGAGAAGAAGAAGAAGAAGAAGAGAATGGAGGTTGCACAAACAACTATAGTGATTTTGACTCATCTTCTAATAGCCCTACCAGCGACACTAGTAGCTTGTTGGAAGGGAATGATTCCGGGACGAATTTCACAGGTGGCAGCAGCAGGAGCAGTAGCAGCAGTAGTAGCAGTGGTGGGTGTTGTTCAGGGAGTATGAGTGAGGAAGATAATGAAGGGGACGATGGCTGCTTGGATGATTGGGAAGCTGTTGCTGATGCTTTAGCTGCCACCGATGAGAAGCAGGAGCAGCTTAGCTCTAGCTTGGATTCAGCTCCAGAGAGGGATGAGAATGTGGTGCATGTGAGTTCTCCAGAAGATCCTGATCGGCCTGAATCGGGGCTGGATATATCAAAGCAGAAGTCCAGGGAACCTAGATCTCCTGTCAGCTTTCGAGCATGGAGGCCTGATGATGCCTTCCGTCCACAAAGTCTTCCGAATTTATCGAAACAGTATACTTTCCCTATGAATTTGGGGCGGCATTACCGGGGAGGCTCTGTATGGGGATGTAAAAGTTTATCGATACCCACATCATGTCCTATATGCTGTGAGGATTTGGATTTTACAGACACAAGCTTTCTCCCTTGTCCTTGTGGGTTTAGGCTTTGTCTCTTTTGTCACAAGAGGATTCTTGAGGAGGATGGGCGGTGTCCAGGTTGCAGGAAGCAGTATAAACATGACCCACTTGAGGTAGAGACAACCGAAGATGCAGGAAGTCTGACATTTCGACCGTCTCGTTCTTGTAGCATGATATCAAGGTCGTAGGATTTTCTGTGAATGTGTATGTGGCGTCCTCTTTCTCCGTGTGGCTTGACTTTGTTAGACTCAGTTTTTTCTTAGCATTAGATGTTTATATAAGACCGAGATTCTGAAAGCATGGTGGAACTGTTATGGTTCTCTTATAATTTTGCTCAATGTAATATGGTGCTTGTGCTGATGTAGAATACTTGTTTTGTGAATAAATAAGCTGGATAAAAGTTAGGTAGATTGAATTTGATGATATAAAGGTCCTTGTCTCGTTGAGCACTTTGTCACCTTCTAGATTACCATGAATAAAAATGAGTGAACAATTGGACATCAAACTTTGCATGAATATCTTCTCTCTTTTAATATTTTTGCTGCTCTTCATCTCGACTGCTTGTGATGAATCTGAGTAAATGAGCAACCAATATTTGTTAACCGGTCTGTTGCTTTCACTTATCTCTTCAGTTCATTTTGGGATTGAATCACAAAATGCATCCCCACCACATTATGGGCTTGTAGTGCGGCAGATAAGTATTGATAAATTTTTTGAGACAAGCTATGTATTAATGCTCTACCTTAAGGTAATAAGGAAGTGAATTGATATTTAGATTCTCGTGTGACTTGCTAATATTCTTGTGATTTTTTGGAGTCACCTTAAGGTGTAGGGTCTTTTTGAAGTGAAGTAGTCTTGTTGAGTTTACATTGATCATCTGTATGTTTGACGTTCTTATTTTTGTCATCGTTGTTGCATTCCTGACAGTTCTATATTCAAAGTGTGCATTACTTGTGTGCTTGCTGGACATTTGGATAATATTGCCGTTGAATTCAAATTGTGCATTCAGTAGTTTCTTGAACCTGTAAAATGGGATGATTCTAGGGTGGTGGGGGCTGTCATTTAGAAGTATGTCAAAAAATGTCCTATACCTTGCTTTGCTTCCCCTCTCAAGCTGGTAAATATTGATATCAAGTCCTTCAATATGGTTAGTTTTGTTGAAGGCTGACATTTACATGTAAAGCTTCTATTCAATATCTCAAACTTTTTCTAAGCTTTATCTCTACTGTCTGCTTACTGGATGTTAACAAGATTATGTTAGTGTGCCAATTGTTTTTAAAGAAGTAGCATTAATTATGTGGTGTTGCTCGTTTTTCCCTTGTACAAGTCGATTGGTTTTCCATGGAGAAGAAGACTTTGGACTATGGTTTTCAATAACAATGAGTGACTTTAATATTTGGCATCTTGACCCTGGCCTTCTGCGGCTATTATGTTGTTCATATTTCTTCCTACTAAAAAAGTTGTGTAATCCAAGTTTTGTCAGCGTGGTTAATTTAAGGAATTCAGGTTCTTAAAACGTTCTTACTTGGGGAAAACGTGAGCATGTAGTATCCCACCTTAAATACTTGAATGTTGGTATTCTTGCTACTATTCCACCATACAAGCAAAGCAGTTCCTAGGAACATTGAGGCATTTTCAATTATCTGAGGTAAGAAGCTCTTATTGAAGTAATGTGGTGCTTTCAGCCTATCCAGACATTTTTCACTAATGCACCATCTGGCTTCTCTTATTAGGGAATTGGACTAGGAGTACCAGCAAGCTGGCTAGGACACCATCATTATCAAAACATTAGGGCGTTGGCAATGGCATAATATGGAGCTGTAAAAGACGCTAAGAATTTATTTTCCCTGATATCCAAGATGTCAGTCTGTGCTGAGTAGGGAGTTGTTTCCACCATTTGGTAAAGGTAGACTCAGGGAAGAAAACATCATCGCCCAGAAGACCACTCTGGGACCAATCCCATGCCTTTGTTTCTAAACTCAAAATCCTGTTTTGCACTTCCATAATTGGCTTGTTTCTTAGTTCCTCCACTTCTGCCCAAAAACAAGACTCAGAGCGTTCACCTGTTTGCACCCTTTCTTCATGCTCTAACCATCGTTGTGTGAACCTATAACGCTTCGGCCTAGCCCTGATCATGTAAGGTCCTGTATCTTCATTCTTCAAATGCCTGTAATAGTTTGCAATATCCAAGGGCTCAACTTGCAGGCGGAACTGTGTCCCTAGTTTTATCCATTCCTTTCGTCCCTCAAAACTATCTGGGAGCTCATACCTTTTCAACATTTCAATGATTTCGTCCCATATTCCTGCTAGCTCGAGCCTTTTCACATTAGCATTGAAGTCATCTATGGTTTCTTGAAGCTTGAACGCATCATAATACCCGACTTTCTGAATATCACACTTGGTCTGGTACTCCTGTATCTTGCTTAATCCTTCCGTGATGCTGTTCTTATTACCATCAATCTTTTCCTCGTTCTTCCTTTTCTGCTTCTCCCATTCTCCTGCTGCACGAAGACACAACCGTGCTCTTGTACTCTGTAACGTGAAAAAGAACCCGTTACTTTGAGCTAAATGTGAAAATCAACACAAAGAGCAAACACATTTATCACTTACCAGGCCTAAGTCATTCAGGGCTAAATTCATAGTTACCACTTCATCACTAGCTAATGCAATGGCATTTGAAGACAAGGGAATATCGGTAAGATTATTGAGATGAACCACATCCAGCATCTCTAAGCTTTCCTGCATTTCTTTTCTATATAACAAATGTTCGTTTAAGCTTCTGGCAACAACTTCGTCAACTTCTGTTTCGGAACTCATTTGAGCACAATAGAACAGTAACTGCAGAACAGCATCTGGATTCTCAACGACCACCAGTTTCCCATTTCCAGTGCAGAAGATGTAAGTTCCGAAAGGTCTATAAGGGCTGAGTTGAACAATGTTAGAAACTGTTTCTAACAAGAAGTTTGTACATCCCTTCAGATTACATGCAGCATAGCTTGCAACAGAGGATGCACTCCTCATTACAGTCATAAAGAAATTCTTCGATGCATCATTTGATCTTACAACTGCCTCATGCTGATAATTCCGGGATTTTGGATTGATGAAGTCAAAGATTGCTTGAAGCCATTCTTGAATCGATGAAAGGGGAGCAAACATCATCTGAGGAACGATATCATACTTCATGACAAAATGTATGAAGTAACTAGCCCAGTTTTCGCGCCTGAGGGCATGAGACCATATTCTGTCACCAACAAGAGGGGATCCAAAGGTTATACAGTATGGATAAACTAGGTTGTCATTTGGTCTTGTGCAACAATGTTCCAGACACCATAGGGCTGCCAAAATCGCAATAGGGCCACCCGACGAGTGCCCTGCAAACACTATCTGTTTTCCATCTGACATCGCCTTCTCCACCTAAAACGAACAGTTCCCATGAATCAACATTCAGTTTCCAAATTAAAGATGAAGCTATGAGGGTTAATCTTTGTTAGTCTAAAGAGGAATCATCTTGAAAGATATTTGATAGGAATCAGTGTTTTAGTTTGACTTGGGAACATATTCTTGGACATGAAGATTTGATAACTAAGAGCTAATAAAGAGGAATTAAGTTGGCTAGATCAGCATGATATTGTCAGGAGTGGAACTTCTTGACGCTGAGATAACCCTCTCTGTCTCCCATTGTTGAAATTAACAAAGCCGGTCTTGGGAGGAGAGGCGGATTTAGGATTTAAACGTGATTGATTCAACCTTTAAGGTTGTTAGACTAAATTCATTGTACTTCTAAAATTATGCGTTTTGTTGAAATATTAGCGGTTGTTCACACACATATATATGATTAGTGTCGAAAATATTAAGTATAGTTGAACCCGTTACACAAAGATTGCATCGCCTCTGCCCAGGAGACGAGGCAATAAAACTAATACTCACATCAGGTCTAGGTCACCAAAGAAGAAGGTACTTTTAAAAGAAGTTTGAATTAAAAATATAATTCCTTATTTAAAGATTGTTTAGAATATGATATTTTTTTGGGGACAGGAATACACTCAGCTTTGAAAACCTTTGTCTAAAAAGAAAGGAGACAATATTCAATCTCCTCTATCTGCTAATCCATTTCCAGTGCTATCATATAGTATACACTTGAGGTTCTTCCTTTCCCCTTCTGGAACAGTCCCTCCCTTCAAAACCCCACCTCAAAAATAAAAAAATTGAATCTTTTTCCACAATTCACAATACTATTTAGCTAATTAATTATCATATTTAAGACGGTGTAAAGAATTCTAACATTGTCACTATAGTCTAAATTGTTATAACACTGTTGTTCAAGTCACCTTAATTTGATAGTGTATACACAAATCATACATTGTCAGTGCACGGAAGTTAAACATTTAATCACCCAAAACGAAAAACAAAATACCACCCAAAAAAGAGAAAGAAAAGGAACAAGATTATCAAACACAGTACCTCATTTTTAAGAGAAGAGTCGTTCAATATGTGTTCAAATCTGCTAGCAAATGCTTTATTAACCATGGCTACCTCATCTGTGCCAACACTTTTCAAAGATGGAAACAAAGATATGTTAATTTTTTTCTCTCCAAAACAAGTGCTACTGTACCAACCATCAACAGACCAATTTCCAGCAAAAGCAAAAAAAACATCCATCGATCCACTTTTTTTCTTGTAAATATAAGGCTTCCCAGAAGACAAACTGTGAGCTTCCATAGCTAAGTTACAAGCTTTCTTGATCAGCTCATCTTTGACTTCTCTCCCCTCTTCAATTCTCACCATTTTTGCTAGCAGCTCAAAGATGGGAAATATATCTGTTTAGTTATCAAGAATCTTAAAGAAAGATTGATGGTTGTGATGAAATGAAGCTAAGGAAAAATGGGGTTTTAAGCTTTTGATGAATGAAATGTCGAGGCATTGACTTTGGAGTCATTGCTTGACTCTTGGTGCGGAAATTCGAAAACAGTGGCAATCGAGGAAATTTCCTCTTCATTATTCTGCGTGGTGTCACTAATTCTTTATTTCATGTATTTTACTATTCTTTTCATAAATTTAATAAGTTACTATTAACTTTGTTATTTTCATTTTATTCTTAACGTGCTACTTATATTACTGCTATTATATTTTTCGCTTAAGAGGTCAATGAATAGAGTTGAGAATCTTAAAGCTTTTTAGGATCATATACCACATTTGTTAAAAAAAGTTATATTCTTCACTTGAAGTTGAAGATGCAAGTGGTACCCACTCAAGGACAATTTAGTTGTGCTCCCTTGTTTACGTTCCATGAGCTGAACCACAGATTTGGTGGTTTCAGACTTACACATGAGTCCCAATGTAAGGTCAAATAAGTACTTTTAGAGGAAGAGAAGCCTTTATGTTTTTTCTCTTTATAAAATTTTACAATTTATATGATACTTACTTTTTAGTTTGCTTCAAAAAATATATTTATTTCTTATATTTAAAAATAATTTAACTTTAAAATTTCATTTTATCTTTAACGAGATGATTTATAGCCAAATAAATATTTAAGATTTATTTTACCCCATAAGTTTTAAAATATTTTATTTTTTCTTAAACCGTGTCCAGTCAAACAGTGCCATATAAATTGGGAAGGAAGAAGCAAAGGATTGGAAAGGAGAATAATAAACTTGTTTTGGAACTTTTTATAGAAAAATACAAATTTGTGAAGAATACAGTTGAAGAAAACTGTTAATGTGCTCTTTTTTTGAAGGAAAAAAGGATTAGATCCTTTGAACTGACCAAGATATAAACTATAAACTTACGCAGTGATCACACATGATTACTCCAAAAAAAGATGATAAAGTTGTGAAAGATAAAAGATAGACAGGTAATTTTGTTGGAAAACTTGATTGAGTTTTCTCCATTGGATTAAGTTTAGTACCTACTGCTACTAACTAGCAAAACAAACAAGAGTAGACTAGTTTCTGTTGGGATTAAAGATTGGTGAACCGGAAATGGAGGGAAGAAAGTGGAGGGAAAGTGAGCTCCCTTTTGCTTTGGAAAGAGCAAAGTGTCCCTCATTGGTGGGTGGTGGAAGGAAAAGTGAATGTGCTTATTGCTTATATTGAGAAAACACTTCTCTTGGTGTTAAATGGATTGGAAAGAAAGTAAGCCTCGCCCCATCGTCGTTGCTCGCTCGGCTTCGGTTTCACCGGCATTTTTGGTACCAATATTCCGGTGAGTTAAATCGTTCTATCCTAGGAGGACAATATTCCAGCATCTCGGGTACTTGAGGGGAATAATTTTCTTAAGGACAATGTGCATTCAGTGGGCTCAATTTATTTCGAAATTGTTTTCCAAAAATTATTTCGACATTCTACACATTGTGCATTCAGTGGGCTCGATTTATTTCGAAATCGTTTTTCCAGAAATTATTTCGACATTCTGTTGTTGCTAACTTTCTGTTTCTATTTTTTCTATTTCATAAAGTTTATTTTTCGTTATTTATTATAGTAATACAGATTGACTAACAGTTTCACATCCCAAGCCTCAATCAACTCCCTTTCAGTGGTTCTTGTAACAGCAATATGTTGCATTTTCTTCGACAACTGAGAAAATTTCACACCTTTGAAGGTGACTTGTAAAAAGCCCATGGTTCAACAGAAGTATACTGCGTCACCTGCTTAATGTTCAAGTAGTTCTCAAGACCCCTGCATCAAACAAGACAAGTAACATCACTTATCAGTCCCATAACATGCCATATGACTATCAATATACGGGGCGTTTGAATAGTGAATGCCATAATACTACTCTGAATCCGCACGTTTGAAATCCTGCGTCTGTCTCTGCATCCTGAGTATAGTAACCTACCAAACATACTTTGAATATCTTTTTTACTTGATCCATCATTCTACCAATTTCAAATCTGAGGCCATTTAAGCACAAGGAAACATTTGGAGATATTCCTTGCAAATAGAAATACAACTAATCACTTTATATGTTAGTCATTGTGCTTTAGAGAAAGCCTAGTGAGTGCTTACCATTCCCCTAGATCGCGTCCAAAACCACTACGCTTTCTACCACCCCATGGAAGCTGCGTAAAGGTTGGCTGTGAACAGTTGAACCAGATGATCCCTGTCTGAAAAGCCTGCAAAATCCAATTAACAAGATGTCATGCTCCTCTTGCAGCAACCAATATGCCTTTTGATATTCATTCATAGAAAGAAATTGCTTGTAGCAAATGAGAAATATTCTCCTACCTTTGTGAAACGCTCACACCTTTCAACATCTTTTGACATAATAGCAGAAGCCAAACCATACCTATGAAAAACATAACACATTTTATATTGATCTAAAGTAGCAGAACCCCCTATTGGATAAGTCCGTGTAGCCAACTCACTTGGTGTCATTTGCTAGTTCAATGGCTTCCTCTTCAGTTTTGAATGTTTTGACACAAAGAACAGGTCCGAATACTTCCTCTTTCCAGATTTCCATGGAGGTATTAACATCAGTAATAATTGTTGGTTGAACATAATATCCTTTCTTCATATGCTGCGATTTGATCGTGGTTTTACTTGTGTTACAAAAGATTGACAAATAAAGCAGCTGCAAGGCCTTTTAGGAAGGACTTTTACCTGAGGCCTTTCGCCACCACATAAAATGGTTGCACCTTCATCTTTGGCTTTTGAGATGAACTTCAATACCTTCTCATACTGTAGATTAACAATATCAACACAGAAAATTTATCATACTGCAGAAATAATGTATACCTCATAAATCAGGAGAGGTAAAAAAGAAACACATTGAAGGATATATAAGTCTCAATTCAAGGTAACAAGATATCATATTTTGTTTCTGAAAAGCACTTTATACAGTTAGAAGTTAGAACCGCCTCTTCTATTAATCCAATAGAATGCTTTTTCTAACCTGTCCAGAACTAACGATGGGACCAAGCTTGCAATCTTCTTCCAAAGGATCTGAGATTTTGATATTTTTTATCCAGAGAAGCAGCCTCTCCAAAAATTCAGAAGCAATGCTTTCCTGCAGTATTTGGAATTTGGTGTCAACAAAAGCTCCAACCTTGTCTATAACAGAAAGGAAAATAGAACAAAAGAATACATCAAAAAGACCGAGAAATGCTGCAGTTTTTATAGTTAGAACTAAAGTAATCAGCATTCACGTCTGCCCTTGGTATACTAAAGTATAGTAGATCATATACTAAATCATCTTTTTCTTGGAAAATCCACCCCGTCTCATATGCTCATATTTGTTACACCTTTTTGCTATTTCTGATTCCAGTATATCATTTGATAGTATTCTTCTCCATGCAACTTCTGATTTTATAAATTATCTTTTCATTAGGTAAATCAATTGATATCCAAAGTAAAACCAAAAATTGTACCCTTACAATCCATATTAGTTCACATTTTAGGGGACAGAGAGATTGTTGATAAAGGAAACCGACAGATGTTAGCTAGCTCTTTCTCTGATGAATATTATAGGGCTTACTGCAACTTTGGGTATCTTCTCTCAATCATAACCCTCACAATGTGTTAATTAGGGTGGAAGTTGACGTTCCTATTACGCTGCCAAGCACAACATGACTTGATGATCAAACGTACTCGTAGGTACTTCCTAGATAATGGTAAATAGTGCCAACCCAGTACTGAGCTAACCAGAGGAAAATACTGTGACTAAATATATGGACCTCATCCACATTTAACACTTGTTACCTGTAGTATAAGACGTGATGTTGCACTGCAAACTTGACCAGCATTTGCAAAGCAACCAAAAAGAGTCCACTCAACAGCTGCATTAGAGCGCCAATATTAGTTTAACGATAAGTTATCTTCTTAACCAAAATGCAAGTGCAGAAAATAACTGTCATAGAAATTAAAAAGAGCAAACCTAGATCAAGGTTATCAATGTCATCAAACACCACTATTGGACTTTTTCCACCAAGCTCAAGAGTAACTGGCTGCAAATGAAACATTTGAGCTTAGTTATACTCCAGCCTCCAGCTAGTTTTTTTGTCAGTACGAACCTAAATATATTACTACTTATTTATGCCAGAACATACTTTAACAAGTTGAGCTGCAGCAGTCATGATCTTAACTCCTGTGGCGCCATTTCCTGTAAATGCAATCTGCCACCAAAGAATAAAATTTCCTTCGCCATATTAAAATGTGAGATTTGATAAATATCCAAAAGTATAAGGAAACAGGCAAACCTTGTCAACATGAGGATGAGATACCAAAGGAGCACCAGCTTCAGGCCCCAATCCTGTTAAAATGTTTAGAGCACCAGGAGGGAGGCCCACCTCTCTACAGATCTCACCCAACTCCAAACAGGTTCTGCAATTGAATTTTCAGATTTGTGTATTTAAAGATGCAACGAATAAGGATAAAGGATACATAGATAGTATGATAAGGACTGACATAGATGCTAGTTCAGACGGCTTAAGTATTGCTGCACAACCAGCAGCCAGGGCAGGGGCAACTTTCCATGTGGCCATTAACAGTGGATAATTCCTTCATTATGAAAACAGAAGAATCATCAGTCAATCATAAAAAACCAGTAAAATTTCATAATCTTGTAAAAGAAATTCAAGAGTGTGTGGCCTGATTGCTTTGAAATAGTCAGGTGAAGCATGCACTTTTAGCACAAGGTTTTGCACCTTCTAGCCAAGTTGTATGCTTTCGACTAAGTCAATGAGGATTACGCCTTTTCTCCATGAAGAAAAGAAATGTTTTAAGGGGTAATGTAGTCGATGGATTTACTTAATTAACTCACGCCACATTTACGAGTTGGCAAAGTGGACCTCGTTTTCTTAGGCATCTTTACCCTTATAAGTTATATCAACTTTCTAAAGGCCTTTATCTCACCACATCTCATGTTTTTCCTTGTAAACACTGGAAATTTTTAATTGGGGTCGCCATCAAATCAACAAGTACACATGAATTGTCATTCTCAGTGTTCGTATTTGTTAGTATTATGGTCCAACTTTGCATGAAATATATTGCTGAACCAGGAGGTAACTAGATTAACTGAATGTTCTTCATTGCCAAACTAACTTTAAATTTTTAAGAAATTAATCAGACCAGCTCAAATAAAGCAGAATGCCTTAGTTTTATCTTGTCAATGGCACTAACATGGCCGGTGAGTTTATACATGTACAGAAAACATAAGTGGAATGCAGAAGTTCCAACACGGACATCTGCTGTATGATTGCATATAGGTGTTCGTAACACGCAGCGGAAGATAATAACAATCCTAGGCAGATCTTTTCGTGTTTAAAATTTATTTACATGTCAAAGATCGGATCTAAGATGTACCTGGTGAAGAGAGTCTCGTTTCAAAAATTTTTCGATAGTGCGAAGACTCTATGCGTATCCACACCGAGACCGATGCTGAAATCTTTCTCAAAGATTCAGCCTAGAAATAAACGGAACAAGAAAAACAATTTCCTTGTCAAAAATATATATCCTCTTGAATATTTGTGCGGCTCATGCACTTCCGTCCCTTTTCCGTATCCTCTTGTGTTTGACGATATGTATATATATACATGAACTTGCAACACTGTCCCAATAGGACAAGGAAAAGTTAGAGGCGTTGGTTTTTTCCTTCCCAAAATCCATTCCAAAATTGGAATTATGGAATCCTTTTATTTGGAAAAATTCAATCCCATTCTAAATGGGATCTGTGTTGGCCGACGCGTCCTTTAGAACTTACGTCGATCCAATTCAAAGTTGGATTCAACTTTCAATCCTTTTATTCATATTTCATATACATTCTTATATGAAATACTAATTTTATATATATATATNGTGCGACCCCATGGGTTCAATACTAAACCGGTAGTAAATCAATCACATTAATATACTAATCAAGGGTGACGTCTAGCAACACTCCTTAACGACCGGATAGCATGAAGTATACAATTTACTCTCAGAAGAATAATGTAGTAATTCCTTCTGTCCTTATAGCTCTGAATCACCCTAGGATATGGTTCAACTGTCAAATCCTAATAGGCGACCAACTATGTGTTCACGTCAAATATAATAGACCATTGAATGACCTAAGAAACTCTTTTCTTCTTTCATTCAATTGCCTTGGCCAAGGTCTTAATTTGGTCGTTTATAATTCATGACAACATGGAGCTTAAACTCATTACCAAGAGTTGACAGATTCCATCTTGATCAATCACTAATTCTACAAG